CTATGACTCACTGGACCATAAGACGCACATTAATTTTAGAGGAGGAAAACAAGAAAAAAAATCTGCCTCTGCCTCCCCGCATCCATCCGGTATTCATCTGGCTGGCATCCTTGCAGCAAACAGCCTAGTCAGCTTCAGCACATTATTGCAGCCCCAGCACGTGGCTCATCAGGTCTCTGCTCCATTGTGCCCACCACTAGTCAACTGAGCTGAGCTGCTGCCACTGCCAGGGAATGCTGGAGCCTTCGCTGCAAAGCTGATTGGTGATTGGATTGGTCTCCCGGAATATTGCCAATCAGCTGTACTAGGTGGCAGGGATCGCCATTCGCCATCATTGTTCTCCATCACCGTTCTCCACCATTTGCCACGGCACCATCCCCCCTCCCCTCCACCGCAATATTCAGTCTATAAGACGCACAAATATTTCCGCCCACTTTTGTGATGGGGAGTGTGTCTTATAATGCGGAAGATGCAGTAATTCTAGGCTTTTCAGCTACCTTTCTGTTTCTCCCTTTCTCTCCATCCCCAGTTTTATTTTTCATTTTGCCCAATGGAAAGGATTCAATAGATTGCACCTGTGTTTGTTTGTTCATTCATTCATTGAATATCACCTTTTTATTAATAACTCAAGAGAGTGAACATACTTAATTCTCTTTGATTCTCCTATTTTCTTCGCAGCAACAAACCTACAAGGTAGATTGGGCTGAGAGAGAGTGACCTGTTTAAAGTCAGTTGGATTTAGATTAACCAGTAGACCAGCAGCCACCAGTCTTTTGGGCACCAGGGACCAGTTCCATGGAAAGAGATTTCTTTGCAGACTGGAGGGGGCNCCTCCCCAAAAATAAGGCCAAGAGCTTATTCCGGGAAAACACGGTATTAGTGTTATATATTTTACTTAAAATTATTAAATTTTAAATTATTAAAATCTTCTTTTAATATTGTTTTTGTCTTCAGCATCCTTCAGGTACATAAAGCTGGACAAATATTGTTAAATGGTTAATGTAAAATATTTATGACCTGGGGCAAACTTGCTTTCCTTATATGCAGGTCCTAACATGATAAAGCATTATTGGAATAATCTAGCAAAACAACAACTTGTCTGCTATTTCTTTAACAGCAAGAAAAACATTTGTGACAAATAAGATGAAATAACATGCTCTTTCATTTCTTTTGCATCCAAATTCTGGAGCAATCATTTACAATAATCATCAGAGCACATGGAAGGTGTAATATCACTCAGATGTATTTCTATACTTAGCAATGCTTTTAAGTTGAAGATATTCTTCAGTTTATGATTTCTAATAATTAAAATGTTAGAAAGTTTTTGTGCTTGTTATCTAAAATTAGATAAACATTTCAATATGCCTTTTCAAAATTCAACTGCTGTCATGCATGAAAGAATAAGGGAAAATGTTCTATTAAAGTCCAAACACATGACTTCTGAACTTTCAGTACTTTCATATTGAAAAGGTTATAATTATGTTCTGTAATAAAATTTCTGTTTAAAAAACTATGGTATAGCCATCCTTGATTTTATGCTAGTTATATTCTTCAAAACCTTTGCACAAAGCAGGTTTCATAAAGCAAGGAAATGAAGGGGGGGAGATTGTGAGGTATCAGATCAATTTTGTAACCCCAATGCATTAACAAATATGCTTTAAAGAGGCTCATTCTTAAGTATTATGTTACTCAAATATATTTTCTTGCCTATTTATTTATATACAGTGAAAAACGTTCTTTCCATCTTTCTACAGATGATTTTTAATGTGAATGTTTATAATGGCAGATAAAGAGATAGAATTGATCATGGCACTACAAATATTAGCATTATTTGTTATTGCACATGGTAGATTCATGGATAAATATCTTAACTGACTGCTTAAGTTTGACACATATTACATTCAACTTTTAATGTTGTAAGCCACCCAGAGTTGCTTTCAGACAAGATGGGCAGCAAACAAATTTAAAAACAAATAATAACTTTGTTTCTGGTCTTAGAAAGAACCTTTCCTGCTGAGACATGGGGGTTGGACAAAATGTTCATAGCCACTTTGGCTCCATAGCAATAGTACAGTAGTGGCTATTACAGGTAGAAAAATAAGTCAGAAACAGGACACAATTAGAACAACTCAAACAAAATGGTAGATGTGTGGCTATGGGCACAAAGGGATGTGGAGCCTTGTATTGGAAATTATTCAAGTGTTTTTGGCAGGAGGAAGTCTTGGCACATTTCCAGACCTTTGATGCAAATTAACTATGTGGTGTAAACTGCATAACAGTATTTTTTCTCAATTAAAGTGAATGCTTGGGCAAAAACTACAAAATAGCAAATTTGCATAAAGCTACAAAATCTTGTACATAAACTTTGACCATGCTTCTCTGTGCAGGTATAATTACGCAGTGACTACATCTAATTGCAAATGGTGACTATTTCATAAATCTACATTACATATGTGGAAAACACTGTAATGCATGAAACCACTGCATTTCCCCCCAGAAACTATGGAATTATCTTTACTTAGTGGTAATGCCAAAAGAATCTAGTAAACAACCCAGATGCCTTTTCTTCTCTGTTCTGAAATTCCCAGTATAGTTAAATCAGAGAAACTAATGATGGTTTGATTTCCATTCACAAATCAGAGCCATCAATTCTATATAAAAATTCTATTCTATATTGGTATAATGATCAATGCATAAACATAGTATAAACTTATCAAATTCAATATGATTGTATATATCATAGCACAGTCACATTAAGATTAAATACCAATATTATAATAAATTAGATAATTGTTAAATTCCTCAAGTACTTCTGGGTGAAGTTTACCTTCACTGGTTTCAGATGAATTTAATCTTTTGATTTTGTTTTTGATTAAACCTAGGGAGGTTGATTTACCTATAAATAGCAGTAAGTATATCTTTACAGTATTGATAGTGAATAAAGCTTTAATTCTATGACCTTCAATATCTCAAAAGGTATCATGAAAGCAGCAATATGTTTCAATCATGGAATTCAGTGGCATGATACTTCATAAAGTCATTTCAGTTATGACCTGAAACATCTATGTTTACAATTAAGCATAACAATTATGGGCCTGGTCATCTATTTCAGTTAATGACCTGTTGCTGGCCTTTGGAAATACTTCAAGGCTATTAACCCAAAAAGTCATTTATTTCTTTTAATGTTCAATGAAAATATCGTCTTGTTTATATTAAAAGGGTAAACATGTATCTATCGATTATTGTTTCTATTTTGACATCTGTACTTAAATTAGTAAGGCTATATATAAATGTGACAGATTTTGCAATTATTTAGGTAAAATTAATTGTGGATAATTAGCATTTTAAATTAAACCTCATTGCCATGCCCTAAATGAAGTATTTTTTTAAATCTTCCCAACAGTTTTCTGTAGAAATGGGCAAATAGCAAATCAGCTTCATCCAAAAGATGGTAGTATTATTAAGCTATCTCTATAAATCTCATTAAATGTTCAATTGTTGCAGACTCAGGCGGTACTAGCACTACATGTTTTTATTCCATTTGAAATTACTAATTTAAACTGTTGGCATTAACACTGACTAAACCTCACTTTCAATATCACTCACTTGGTTGATATCACACTTTAGACAAGTTAGCTATATATTTATTGAATATAATTATAAATTATTAGTTTAAAATCCATATAGAATATCTGGCAGAAATTATTCTCAGTTTAAAGAGCCTCTTGCTAATATCCATGGTTTATATTAATGAGCTAGTTTTATTCCAGTATACTTATTCAAAACAGATTTCCTTTGCATTATTAGCAGATATGCAACACAAGAACAAAATCTGAGAAAAATATTTTCAGTTGTCTACAACTTCATTAATTGAAATACCTTTATGCAGATAAACAGAATATTTCATAACTAACTTTACCTACACATCAGTGGATTTCTAATCATTTATGCTGTACAATACTCTACTTAAGTGGCCCCAAACTCCAAACAGAGAAGTCACATGTATTTCACAGAAGACAGATGCTGATGCAGCCATTCACAAAAAGGCTCTTTCTTCAGTCAGCCTTCAGGCTAGCTGATTAGCTGGCAAACTCCTCTGAAAGGGTCAGTTTGTACAAAACTGGTATTTCTACTCTGGAAATTGTTCTGACATGTTATATACCTGTATCCACAGAGCACAACACTTTTAAAGCTCAGTTGAATTTGATTAACAGTGAAGCCCAGCTCATTGATAATTGGAAGGATCAACTGCAATGATTCTGATTTTTCAAATTTACTTTATGGCTCTACAAAGAACTGTGCAATTTGATGCTACAGGAACCAATTTGATTAAAATCGAATTACTTAATATAATTCTTCAAGGTAACTTGTATACTCCATTTAAAAAAAACTAAGAATGATTCTTGACAAATCAACTGCCTAGGGCTTTCAAAATTTGAAATTATACCAGCCACTGCAAACTGAGAACTTGCTCAATTTCAGATACATAGCTTGGTGATATTTTGACAAGTCTATACAGATCCAGTAAGGTCCTCAAGATTTCTGAAATATTTCCCATTTCTGAAATTTATTTTTTTTAAAATTCAACTTTCTAATAGCTACCAGTCCTATAACTTTTTAATAATGTACATAAAGTTGTACGACTTTGGCAAAGATGCCAAACATCCCAAGTCTTTTCATCATCATCTGATGGGACATATAATAATAATAAAACCTTTCTCCAGTTTCATGATACCTAATGCTACATGCAGTGAATTAGTACTGCCATCACAAGAGATGAAGGCAACTAGTAAAGTTTCCAAAGTTGCTTTTAGCAGATACTCCCAAAAGCCTGCTTGAAATCAAGGGCAAATTCAAGAGCCATTTACTTTTCTTTTTTTTTCTTTTTTTTTTGGGGGGGGGTGGGGGTTAGTTAAACCAATTGGCGAACCTAAGAAAAGGAGAAAAAAAGGTGTATATATGGGTGGGTGAGGAGGAGGAGGCATTTTCTTTTGGGTTACCTGTGTGGGGGAAACCATTGCAGGTGAAATGACTGTGGGAGAGTTGGTACTTCTCGGCCCGTTGGCTTCAGGTATGAGGAGAGGCAAGGGGTCGTGTTTCACCGAGACCACCACGACGGCAGCGGTGTCGAGGGGCTCGGCAGGCCTGAGACAAAGTCTTTTGGGGGACGAGGAAGGGCCGCAGGCATCTCCCACTACCGCGGCCCCGCCCCCGGCAGCGTACATGGCCTCGTGGGAGCGCTTGGTCGGCACCAGAACAGCAGCCGCCTCGGCCTTGACGCTGGGGTGGTTGTCGCCGTCTTTGGGGAGAATGTAAGTATTGTTGGCGGGAATGGGTGGGAGGCGGCCTCTGCCGTTGAGGCCATAGAAACCTCCTCCGCCGGTGGTCCCTGAAGTCAGCTTGGTGCCGATGCCGGCGATACTGTTGAGGGTGGCGATGGAGACTGCGCCGATGCAGTGGTTAGTATAAGTCTTGGAAAGCTTGGCCGCCTTGGAGAGCATCTGCATGCGGGTGCCCAGCAGGTTCTTGCCGATGGCCTTGTTCTCATACCAGGTGACGTCGCCCTCGCTGCAGTGGTCCCGCGGGCGCTGGAAAAAGGCCTTGCAGAGCGGGTTACGCTTCGCCAAGTATTTCACAAAACTGGCGTAAGGGCAGAACTCCGTGCCGGTTTCGTACATGCGCGGCAAATTCTCCTCGTCGCTGCTCTCGGCGCGCTTTTTGCTCCAAGACGACGAGCGCGACTTATGATACGGCCCCAGGGCCTTAAAGTAGACAAATTTGCGCCCGTCCTCGTCCATGGCCAACCCGAAGGAGTCCTCCTCCAGCTCGCGCTGGTTCTCGCGGCCCCGCGTGCAGAAGTACATGCACGTCTCGAACCAAACCTTGTTAAGGAGCCCGAAGGGACTCTGCGTGCTGAACACGTTGCAGGTGTAGAGCTTCCTAAGGTCAGCGCGCGTAATGGCTTGTTTTTGCACCACCGGCCCGGCGCCCTGCTCCTCCAACTTCCGGATGACAGCGGCCAGAGTCAGGTTAGCGGCGCGCAGCTCCGGATCCTTGGTGAGGTCGAGGGTGCGGCAGTAAGGAGGTTCGTTGAGGTAGCGGTTGAGAGAGCTACGGATGCTGATGAGCGACGACTTGGAGTAGAGCTGCCCGCTTTTGGAGCGCGCCTCGGCGTAGAAAGAGCGTAACACGCGGCACAGCGCCCCCTTGTCCATGGTCTCGAAGTCGGGGCTTTGGGCTTTCTCGCTCAGGTACTCGCGGAAGATGCGCACCGCGTACCGGGTGGCCAAGCGCGTGTTCTCGCTCAGCCGAGCCCGCTCGGGGCGCTGCAGGAGCAACTCCGCCTCCGGGTCTGAGTCCTCGGCGGCAAGCGGTGCCACCGCTTTGCTAACGACCGAAGTGGTCATACCGCGGGCGCTCACCGGCACCGAGGGGGCGCCACCTGCAGCGGCCCCGATGGCCCCTGTGCCCCCTCTTCTGACCCCTCCGAGGCTGCCCCTGACGCCGCAAACAGCAGCCGCAGCTTTATCCAGCAGCGCCCTGGAGCTTTGGTCCATACGAATCATATGGCCCGGCTCTTCCTCGGGGTCCCACGCAAGTCCCATCATCACATCGTCCTCTTCTTCTTCCTCGTCGTCGTCCAGCAGCAGGAGTCCCCCATCGGCGCCCTCCTCGTCCCCCGTTATTTGCACCTCCTGAATCTCATCCTCGTCCTCCCCATCCTCGTCCTCTCCCGCGCTGCAATAATGAAGAGGCCGGTGGGGGCCACCCCGGCTGGGCTGCCGGTCCCCCACATTGTGCTCACCACCTGCACCACCGTTACCGCCCCCGGTGCTCCAGTCTCCGCTGGCGCCGCCGCTGCCAGGCATTCTCGCCATATTGCCGTCTCCCTGCCAGTCCTCGGGCAGGGCGCATGCGCTATATTGGACCGCAGCGCTGGAGAGCTTTTGTGTTTAATGACCTTCAGCTACCGGGAGGCAAAGCTAGGCTCTTAAAGGGGCCGCGCGCTCCCAGTGGCGGTGGCTGCTGTGCGATTTATTGGGTGGGGAAACAGAAGGGAGACAGAACTGGGAAGGAAGCGTGGAGCGGTGGCGGGGAGAGAGCTCACCAAAATAGACACAGCTGCCCCATCGTATGGGAAGCTAGTGTAGTGCATAGGGTTACTTTATATTGGCCCGTGCAAGCACCCGCTTAAAAGAGACTGACATTCACTTACCCAAGCCTCGGTACGGTGCCAGCTGCCGTCCGTTAAGTGATGCCCGAAGAGCAGCACGGCAACCCCGGCACGCTCATTGCTTAGGGAGGCAGGGAAGACTCCACTCCACTCCCACCGGCGACTGAAGGGATGGGATGGGTTAGGGAGAGAGCAGCTGTATTAACGGCGGCGGCGGCAGCAGGTGAGACCCACCAGGAGAGCGGGAGAAGAAAGGGGGCAGGCAGCTCTACTGAACAAGGCACTCCTCCCTTTTGAATTCTGACACCCGGTCGCGGAAACACGGCATATTTCGCAGCCCCCGAATCAGCGGCTGAGGGCAGCGGTTCGGAGTTGTCCCCAGCAAAGGATAAACTTCTCGGATCCTCATCACTTCGAAACGACTCCCTTACCGTCCCCTCCCTCCGACCATCCCACCAACCCTCCTCCGCCCCCCCCCCAAAAAAAGAGGATTACTCCGACTGCATACCAGGCGCGCCGATCTCGCTCCTCCTCGAGTTCACGGCGAAGGCATCGAGCGGTCTTAGACGAGCAGCCAGACGCGACAGGCTGCAACCGGAGTCGAAGGCGGCGGGTCACGCAAGACAGCGGCTGGTTCGTCCGAAGACAGCAACCAAAGGGGAGAGTCGAGCAGATCCCCGGAGGTTTCTCCGTCGCTTCTCGAGCGGCCGCCGTTGCTGCAGATCGGGAGGCAACCGAAGCCTGCGAATAAACCGGGCTCGCTACAAAAGAAGTTAACTTGCTCGTTTCCTTGCTGGCGCTGGTAAGCCGAAGGAAGCCAGCAGCGACTAACATAGGGAGCCGTCAGGGCTAGCAAAGCCCACACAGTCCGCAGCCAAAAGGCAAATCTACAGCTATTCCCCAGCCTGCGGGGACAGGCAGCTGCAACACGCGCGCACACACATAGGCTGTCTCTCACACACACACAAACGCGCGCGCACACACACACTCACACACACGTGGCACAGCCTAGCCCTGTAGAACATAGCTATCTACATGTCTCGTTCTCATAGACGCTCATGTGTGCCTCTTCTCCCGGTTCCCGCCTCACTTTTCAGTCCTCAAAACCATTTCTAGCATCTCCCTCGGGCCAGGCGGGACTCGGCAAGCCCTCGCGTTGCCGCCAGCCGCCCTCAAGTTAATACCTGCTTGGAGCTCTGTTACCGAACCCCCCTCAATTCCCCGCCAGCCCCAAATTCTCTTCGCCGCGTATTTCCAGATGATGCCGCCAATCCTTCCTGCCCAACTTTCAGCAAGAGGGGCGTGCCGGCCGGCCTGCTCGCCTTCGATTTGACTCTTTTCGCTGTTTTACGACAACGGAGGATGGTGCCCTTGAGCAGTGGGCTTCTCGACAAAAGTCAACAAAGCAAGCCTGTGTCTACGGGCGCCCTCGCGGTTCCTTGCTGAGAGAACAGGGAAAGTGAGTCTGAATTTGGGCGCTCGCTCTCTTTTTCCATACACACAGCAGACATCACTAGCATAAACACGCGCCGCTCACAAACTTGGCGGTATCAAACTGACGCCACAGTGTCGTTGCGCTTCCTTAGATGGAGCAAAATCCCTTTCCATACACACACCCTGACACCCGCCTCCTGACAATGTGCTTCAGTGAAAAAAATTGTGGGGAAATCTTGCTTAGCAGCAGACAAGTCACAACAAACCAGCGCAACACCCTAGATATGATTCACAGATAAGGACCAATGTGACAGTTTATTGCTATTCTGATCCTTAAAATGGGCTGGAGACAATTTTAACAATACTTGAGTACAATTTCCATGTGTGCGTGCGTGTGAACGAGCGCGAAGGCGCGCGTGTTTGAAAAAGTGAAATAAAGCCGAGTATTTTGGGAAAAGGTAGATGACAACAGTTCAACAATTAATTCAAAACACAAACTTAAATGCTTGAGTTGATTTTCAAAGTTCAAGCAAAAACGATATCACTGTATCTATAAGAAATGCTCATTTACTTCCACAAAAAGAATCCCATTTTGCAGTAGCTAAATGCTGTGTGAATAAACAGAGTCACAAAACTCAGAGCATTTCCAGAAAAGCTGAGAATAGCGTTGGAAGGCTTCTAGTAGGGTGAGAAAAGCTGTTTTCAAATTTGGAACAACTGTTTCAAGCTTAGGATAACACATGTTGAGCTCAAAATGTTTTCTACTGAGAATGTTTTGCATATGATTTGTGTTTTTTAACTAGATCATCTTTTTCTCAGCAGAGATTTGAACATGTAGAAGAACATGAGCCTAATTATATTTGGTAACCGCAATGAGCTTAATCAGCCAGCAAACTTAGTTCTAATGAAGGTATTTCTATCTTACAAAGATAAAAATAATATAAAATATTTATAGTGAAAGACTTTGTATTACAATGGGATTTTGCTATTTATAATTATTTTGGTTAAAAAAAATTCATATAGGAATATGGTATCAACTACCAATCATTACATATATATCTTACAATTTATAACAATATATAAATTATTTATATACAGTAGAATGAAGTACATTTATTCATACAGTGACCTTGTTTTATTATGAGTTATTAAACCTGTACTCATATAGGCAAACTACACATACCATTTATATGTAAACCTGCAATAAAGAACCAAAAGAAGATTGGCTGAACAGAAGCAGAAAATTGAATAATTTGGAAAAGAACACAGAATTATAGGGGAGGAGTTGAATTAAAAGGCAATGGAATTGTAAATGTAAAATAAAATGATGTAACTGTTAAATATGATGACACAAAGATTGCACACAGATGACACACTTTAAGATTAATGATGTAAGAGTGGTTATGGAAAAAGAAAAAAACTTTTCAAAAGAAGATTGGCTGAGAAATATGTGATATGTGATGCATGAAGCTTAGTGGCATATATAGTTTGCTTTCATGAATATTGGCTAATGCCAATGGAAAATTCCTGTCAGAAGGAAATCCATGTCTGAGTCACATTTTCACATGGAGTCAAACTGATATTCAAATACAGCAAACAGGTATTTAGCTTAAGCTTCAGAAAATTACCTTAATAAAACTGCAAGTTCCCAAGACGTGCTAAAATCTTGTATTAAAACAACTGAAAAGACCAAGGAAGAATAGCAGCATTGTGTCAGCATGTTTTTGTCTTGGCTCTCCAGCAAAGGCAAAATGATAGAATAGAGACAGGTTTATTTTCCTACCAGTTTTCCTGAGACAGATTATATTAAGCTTTTAAAAAGGGCATGAAAAACCTGACGTTTCAAACAGGCCATGTGCTGAAATATTTTGTAAGCCTGCCATGTCATGACTGAAACTGGTTATTAAAAAAAAATACTTCCCCAAAGCATCACTTCATTTGCATATCTTGTATTCTGATCATCATCATCATCATTATTATTATTTTTAATGTAAGCTGCTTTAAGTCATCACCAGCATTATCATCACCCAGCTTCATCCCAGAAGAAGCCCTTCATTGGGTCTCCCTTACTGCTAAGGTCATAAAGGAACAGGGACTATAAGTACAATTGACAGAATGAGAGCAGGTGAGGCACTGAAGGCATGAAGGAAGCCAATTCACTTAAAAGGAATTCTAAACTCAAATCTGGAGGAACTCAAAAGACAAATACAGATGTTTTGACAACTTTTGTATTGTTGTCAAACTCCACCTCCACCCCCACCCCATATACTCCCCATATAGACAGGGCTGAAAACAGGTAGGCAACTTTGAGTGCCAGATGATTATCTCTCCATGTCAAAAGATACAAGTTACTGGGATGGAAAAACTGAACTTTTATAAATAGATCTGGAATCAATAATCCAGATCACAAAAAAAGGCTGGTCATTGATACTGTCTATACTAAAAGAAGAGTTCCTTTGCAGTTGAAGCATGGAATATGAAAAGTACAAACCAAGGGAATTTGAAATTCTTAAAGTGAAAAATATGTATATACCTGTGAAACATGGAGTTTGGGGGATGTGAGGCTAAATGTACGGGGGTGGGGGCACTTTAAGTATATTTTGCAAGAACTAGAATATGAAACTTAAGAATGGAGTGGCAATGATATTTAAAAATGACATCACTTAACATGTGCCTTGCTTATATATCCCAGTGAACAACAGGATAATAGTTATTAGAATTAGTGGATATAAAGAGAACAATACCCCCTCCCCTTCTGATTGTTAGCCGCCCTGAGTCTTCCGGGAATAGGGCGGCATACAAGTCAAATGAAACCTAAAACCTAAACTTAAACAATAATCTTTTTGCTAAGCATTTTGGAGTACAATCATCATATTTACTCAATTGGACAGGCCTGAAGGCCAACGAGATGAGGTGGTGTCTTTAATGCTTTCTGGGATTCATATGAGTCTATGGATCTTGATGAAGTGAATAGAATCTCTGTGAGGCAAGTTCTCTCCCTTCAGGCTAAATCCTGGTACAGCTTACCAAGGAAGAAATGAGGAGCTGGGTTTGTTGAATGCCTCTGAGTGAGAAGTGAAGTCACCAGGCTTAAAGATGAAATGGCACACCTCTTTCTCTCCTTCAACTCATTCATATTAGACACATATCACTACAGAACGACCACTATTCAAATTATCACTTTTGAGGAGAAAATTGTTAAATGGTAGGGCTGTAGCCACATGAGTTCTTGGGTGAAGACCCTTTTCAGTCTGGATTGAGGCTTCGGCATGAGATGAAAACTGTATTTGTTATTCTTGTTGATCACAGTGGGATTTAAGATTGTACATGGTCTTGTTGGACTTCTTCCATTGTCTGTGATATATAGATGCTATGTTGTACTATCTACAAGGATTGAGAAAGGGACACCATTTTTCAGCGGCTGATCATTCTTGAGCAAGTGTTGCCAGAATTAGGGAGGAAAGAAAAGTTGAGCCCTTGATGAGTCCTTTATTGAATGCCCTATTGCACTGCCTTTTCTGTCGTACTATTTCACATCTACCTGAAGCCTTTTAGCAATAGCAATAGCAGTTAGACTTATATACCGCTTCATAGGGCTTTCAGCCCTCTCTAAGCTGTTTACAGAGTCAGCATATCGCCCCCACAGTCTGGGTCCTCATTTCACCCACCTCGGAAGGATGGAAGGCTGAGTC